GATCAGACTGTGACAGTGACATACACTTGTCGGTGGAGGGAGACAAACTCCGCTCCAACCTCTCTTGCAAAGCAGAAAGCACAGAGCTGATCAGGCATCTCAATTGGTCTTTCTGTTGGGAAGAACACCACTCAGTAAACAGACACCATTTCAAGGCATAAGCTTGCCTGTTAGAGGGAGCTCTGGCTCGAGCGATAAGTCCTCCGTGTCCTGTCTGAGAGCCCCTCGTGGAGGATCCAGAAGTCTGGATGTAGGTGCCAGATGGTGGTCCTTCCCTGAGAAGGAAGGTCCTTCCTCTGAGGAATTCACCAGTGAAGGGCTGTCACGAAGAGACCTGAGAACCAGGTCTGGGTGGGCTAGCCAGGCGAGAGCATGTTGGCGGTCACCCTCCATGAGACAGGGACAGCCCAAAGGAGAGGACCTTGTACTGTTATGCCCGAACATTGAAAGCAAACAGAAAAAATAGCCTGTGTCGAAGAAAAATCGAGACGTGGATGTATGCGTCTTTCAGGTCGATCGGATTTCAGAACGCATTTCTGTGTCAACATCCTGAAAGGGAGCTTGTGCAGGACCTGGTTCAAGACTCGCAGATCCAAGATAGGCTGTAACCCCCACCTTTCTTTTGTACAATGAAGTCTGTGAAGTCAAGACTAACACCATTTTACCCTCTATTTACTGTATATATATAAATCACTTTGATGCTATGCAAATGAAATAATGCAAAACTAATCTATGAAAATTTTATATATAACATTTACTTAAATCATTCACCTAAAAGTAAGATAAAATAAAATAAAATATAACCTAAATTGGGAAAATGGACCCACATATGTGTCCCTGCAGCACAAAAGCAGTGTTAAGTCGCTGGGGGATATTTGTAGGACAATATTTGGCTGAGATACAACTATTTGAAAATCTGGAATCTGAGGGTGCAAAAAAATCTAAATATTGAGAAAATCATCTTTAAAGTTGTTCAAATGAAGTTCTTAGCAATGCATATTACTAATCAAACATTAAGTTTTGATATATTTACAGTAGGAAATGTACAAAATATCTTCATGGAACATGATCTTTACTTAATATCCTAATGATTTTTGGCATAAAAGAGAAATGTATAATTGTGACCCATACAATGTATTGTTGGCTATTGCTACAAATATCCCCCAGCGACTCAACACTGCTTCTGTGCTGCAGGGACACATATATTACAATATATTGAATAATACATAAGGAATTGCCGCTTTCATATATTGAAAAATATGTGACAATATATTTACTCATATATCACAATATGTAATTTTATATACACATTTATATAATACACATTATAATATATAGATGTACATGTGATAAGATATGGTACTGCATGTGTGAAAATACATACTGAATATATATTTACTCATGCAGTATATATTCACATATATGGAAATATATATATATTTTAAGCTCAACAATAATTTATGATATACATGTTTTATATTTTAAAATACAGCTAGTTTACAGTAGCAAAAGCACACCTGCTCTTAATAAAGCACTGACTGTGCTGACAAGTGCACCAAACATTGGTTTTTAAATAAAGTAACATATAATTGAACAGTGTTTGGTCAATCGTCTTCCTGAACACAGCCTCTACTCAAACTTACACACACCAGAAGCACTTTACATTTCAGAATAATAACACATTAAACACTAACAGATCTCCCCATATATTAATACTCAGCAAAAAACACGACATAACACTTAATTTGAACATTTTTACTCTCCTTTAACAGTCAGAAGCAAAGCATGCTGGGAACTAGAGATCTGCTGTAACTCATTGAGTGAATGTGTGTATATGTGTACAGGAACATCTATGTGCAATTTATACTCAAAGGATAAAACATTATGAATATTCAAATTTTTTTTGTCTCCATTTCTAAATATATTTGTATACATCAATACATAGTCATATATTTTCAATGCATATTACTATAAGCAATAGTTTCCAATATATGGAAATGTATTATGTAATATATCACATTATATTTTGCATGCAACTATTTTGCCTTTCAGTGTCTCCCATGTAGCTTCAAACTATGATATTGTGAGAACAATTAATTACCATGACAACTAACAAGGGTAACACTGACAACAAACAGGAGGAGTGAACACAGAACAAAAGGAACACGGAAACCACAAAATACGAGTCCAGCACAAAACGCAGGAAACATGCAACAATGCGTACAAATGCACGCACGAGACTGTAAACTACCCAGTGCCCCGTGTAAGCCCCCCGTGTAAGCCCCATAGTCTCTCGTACCGTTGGACAGAATAGACATTACTTACCGTGGGGAAGGACATAGCCACTATTCACAAGCTTTCACTTTTTGGAAATCTTTTTTTTTTTTTTTTAAATATATATCTACTAGAAAGAGCATTTTTACAGCCAAGAACAGCAGGTTTATGCTGGGGAAGCACACCTAAAAATAGGCCACTATGGAGACCACATCCTACCTGTAGGGAAGGGACATGTGGAGGATACACACATGGACTGACCCACAGGACAGTACTACATATGAAATGAAGCTCATTCCACACAGGGAACCATATGGGCACCTAGCCCAGTACAGGGGATGAGCGACCAGGCGTGCTGTACTGAGCCCGGCGTTAAGCTTGATGATGGAGGTGAGCGCTGTCTGTAAAGACACAATCTTAAGCTTGACTGACTCAAGAGGCTCAAAGGGAGCTCTCAGCACACAAAGGACCACAGAGAGATCCCAAGGTGTGGTATTAGAGGATTTAGCCTTCTGGCATCTCTCCGAAACTTGATGATCAGACTGTGACAGTGACATACACTTGTCGGTGGAGGGAGACAAACTCCGCTCCAACCTCTCTTGCAAAGCAGAAAGCACAGAGCTGATCAGGCATCTCAATTGGTCTTTCTGTTGGGAAGAACACCACTCAGTAAACAGACACCATTTCAAGGCATAAGCTTGCCTGTTAGAGGGAGCTCTGGCTCGAGCGATAAGTCCTCCGTGTCCTGTCTGAGAGCCCCTCGTGGAGGATCCAGAAGTCTGGATGTAGGTGCCAGATGGTGGTCCTTCCCTGAGAAGGAAGGTCCTTCCTCTGAGGAATTCACCAGTGAAGGGCTGTCACGAAGAGACCTGAGAACCAGGTCTGGGTGGGCTAGCCAGGCGAGAGCATGTTGGCGGTCACCCTCCATGAGACAGGGACAGCCCAGAGAGGACCTTGTACTGTTATGCCCGAACATTGAAAGCAAACAGAAAAAATAGCCTGTGTCGAAGAAAAATCGAGACGTGGATGTATGCGTCTTTCAGGTCGATCGGATTTCAGAACGCATTTCTGTGTCAACATCCTGAAAGGGAGCTTGTGCAGGACCTGGTTCAAGACTCGCAGATCCAAGATAGGCTGTAACCCCCACCTTTCTTTTGTACAATGAAGTCTGTGAAGTCAAGACTAACACCATTTTACCCTCTATTTACTGTATATATATAAATCACTTTGATGCTATGCAAATGAAATAATGCAAAACTAATCTATGAAAATTTTATATATAACATTTACTTAAATCATTCACCTAAAAGTAAGATAAAATGAAGTGTGCTATAGGGCCTACCACCTGTAGAAACATACTCTCCTCTATACGCACTAGACACTTTTCACACACACTGCTTTGTGTACATAAATCCCACAAAAGACTCCGTAATAGGTGCGTTTACATGCTCATGCACTACAAATCATCTGCACTGTTCCCCAGCCAGCTGCTGACTACGATGTTTCTCTTTGCACATGTACAGTATTATGTGAAGCATCCGTATAGTCTGTATTTTTTATTTTTATTTTTAACTTATGTATAGGTAAACATTTAAATATATATAGTATATTTATAATCAAAATCAGTCAGTAGGTCAGTTGTGTATAGGTTTTTACTGCTTTACTGTATAGGTTTTTTACTGTTTTACTTCACTGTTGTATGCCTGTATTTATGTAACACCGTGGTCCTGTGAGGCACGACATTTCGTTCCACTGTATGTCCTCACATGCAGCAGAATGACAATAAAGCTCAACTTGAACTTGAACTTGACTTAAGACACCAACTTTCAGAGCTTAGGAGTAAGTGTACAAAACAACCTCATTTGGTAGCAGATAAACGTGAGAACATCCATTCAAAGAGATAAAACAGCACAAATGCTGAGTTACTGACATTCAAGCAAAAAAGTAGTACAAGCATCTGAGGTGTCCCCTGCATGTGGGGCTGCAGACCACCAGAGCGCACCGCGTGCAGCTTTAGCTCTGACAGAGGATGCATGGATACCTGGGTATGTGAACACAAAGAAACCTTAGAAACGTATGTGTGTATGAATCCAAGCACTGATAAACATTTTCACATATAAACAACACTGGCCAATATCAGCAGGGCCGTTTCTAGGCATCGGAGAACTGAGCATCAGCTGGAGGGGGCGCCACATTGTGTTAACATGTTAATGTAGTGACACTGTTTAGCAAAAAATAACCACGTTAAGTACAGCTGAATATTAGTATAGAAAAAGATCATCCAAAAGGTAGGGAAAAGGTGATCCAAAATCAAATATTTCTAGTATATATATTTTTAAAAAATGAACGATGGCATCAGTGAAATTAAAATTTGTCTAGAAAACAAAGAAAAAAAAATCTCATATGAAATATTTTAAATAATCATATAATTATCCTAATCAAACACATCAATCATCATCACAACTGTAGTGATGGCCCTGAATATCCGTATTAAGAGAGGCAAAATAAATCTGTTTTAGTCTAGAAGGCTGTTTGCAATGAAACCCCCCCCAAAATATGCAACGAGTTCATAGCTGTACCTCACTTACTAAAGTCTGATTATGAAAACACTGTAGAACATTAAAAATGACAAACACTCAGGTGCAGAAACTGTACAGTGCTTCCTCAAAAGATTTTCACGTAGCTGTTCTTTGCTACGTATAAACATTTTATGACTACAAAGTTTAATCCAAGATTTACAACAATCATTTATTTTGAAAAAGGAGAAAAAAAGAACAACAGCAACAACAAAGCCCCAATACACACTAAACACACTAACTGCCGTTCGTGTTGATGAGAAGGATGTCTGCTCAAACCTAAACAAGGACAAGTTTTATGTAAATCACTTCTAAAAGCTTAATATTACCATTATCAGTTAGTATGAAGTAAAATAAACACTCAAAGAATCAGAGTAAGCATGCTGAAAAGTAATTCTGAATGATATTTCCCACAGAAAGCAGCAGGTGGCGCACTAGCTCCTGGAATCCCAGAGCACTCCAGCGAGTCCACAGGTCTGATGAAGCCGGATCTGCTCAGGACACTGGACTCCCCATGAGCCTCTCCTGACGCAGAGAGATCAGTCTGTTCAGCCACACGCTCTCTGCCTCCTCTTTATCCATGAAGAGCTGCAGGAGAGCGAGAGAGCTGGTTCATTTCAATTCATTTAGACGATTCAATCACAGAGAACGTCACTTCTGTGTCCATCATAGAGCATCACTACAGGAACAGCCAAACTCACAGAGCTGAGAGCGTGAGAACAGTTTCTTCTCAGACTTGTTGTCAGAGGAATGAACATTTTGTTTTAATACATTGTATTTTTTTTTGGTAACACTTTCAATTTGGAAACATATTCACTATTAACAAGATGCGTATTAGCATGCATATTACTAATATATTAGTACTCATAAAACACACACATATATGACTATATTCTATATTTTGTATTTATTTGTTTATTTGTATTGCCATACCAGCATCTATGGCTATTTTAATGGCAAGATCAATATTTAAAAGAAACAAATAGTAGTAACAAAGTAGTGATAAAAAAACAACAACTGACAACCAACTCGCATTAAAATAATATCAATATGATATACAATTTTTCAGTAACACTTTAGTTTAAGAATCAGTTCTCACTATTAACTAGTTGCTCATTAGCATGCATTACTAGAATATTGGGTTAGGGTTAGGGTTTATTAGTTTATTAGTACTTATAAAGCACTTATTATTGCCTTATTCTGCATGAGCATATTTTAGATCCTTAATCCACTCCAAAGCTAAACTTAACAGCTACCTTACTAACTATTGATAAGCAGCAAATTAAGAGTTTATTGAGGCAAAAGTCATAGTTAATGCTGAGAGCTGGTCCTCAAACTAAAGTGTGACTTATTTTTCATTTCATTTTTGTTTTTTGTTTAAAAAAATAATAAGATTACTCCTGGTGAGACTATATTCTAAAACAAATAGACAAATCAATTTTCCCTCAATAAGCTCTTAATTTTCACCAGTCTTAACTTTGATAAAGAATATCTCTTTGGTTTTGAGACTTTAGTCTTTGCAACTTCAGGGATCTTATCTATGCACGAACAGCTTGTAACACTCCAAAGAGAAAGAACAACTTGAAATCGCATCATATGACCCCTTTAAGCATACAATAGGGTTAAAGGGATCTAAAATACACTTTAATACTCTTGAAGGCATTAATATGTGCTTTATAAGTACCAATAAACAGTCAATATGCTAGCAATATGCTTGCTAATAAGCAAAACCTTAATGGTGAATGTGTTCCTTAAAGGTGAAATATCATGAAAATCTGACTTTTCTAGGTTGTAAGTGCTATAATCAGGTCCCCGGTGCATCTACCAACCAAGCAAACGTGAAAAAGATGAACCCAGTAACTTTGTTTTGGGAAGCCTTTTTCTGCAAGCGTCTGAAAAAACCAGCGCGTCTGATTTCTCTCCCTCGCGCTCAGAAAACCCTATATCAGAAGTTTAAACTCATATGGTTTAAAACGCATGATTTCAGCATGATAAACATGATAATCAGAACCAAAACAGATGTTTTTAGCAGGTCCGAGCTGTAATGGTGCAGCGCTATTCTGGAAAAGGGGGCGGGGAGCAGCAGCTCATTTGCATTTAAAGAGAGAGGCCCGAAAAACAGCGTGTTTCTGCTTCCACTCAAAACAGGCATTTTCAAAATTATATAATAAATGATCTGTGGAGTATTTTGAGCTGAAACTTCACAGACACATTCTGGGGCACCAGAGACTTATATTACATATTGTAAAAAGGGGCATAATATGTCTCCTTTAAGCTAAAGTGTTACTGTTTTCTATTCCCTAATATTCTTTCTCAGGTGTGTAATGGATGATTCTGATGTGAATACAGGAATCACATGTCTGATAGTTTTGGTCACACACACACACACACACACACACACACACACACACACACACACACACAGAGAGAGAGAAGTGATCGCAGGGAAGGTTGTAAGACTGATGTCTTCATTAGGCAGAACAACAGAAAATATGAATCTGTCAGTGCTCTTATGATTAGTTGGGATGATACATATTTGCTCTAAAACCACTTGATCAAATGATTTCTCTTTCTTTACTACATGATGAAATCTGCATCAGTTCAGTTCAATTAATTTCTGTATGATTCTTAGCTATTTAAGAGAATACGCTGAAGACAAATGCAATGATTGAAGTGTACGGAGGATTTTTTTTTTTTTTAAGAACTCAAAGAACCTTATATTGGTTTAGAAATGCAAAATACATTGTATATTATTACAGTAAACACTGTGATGCCTTTCTGTGCAGTACAGGGGAACGTTACAGAGTCCTCCTACAGAAAGTGAAGTGAGCTGTTATTGAGATCAGATAATCTGTGACTGTCTGCATGTGCGCCATTTCACATTCCCTCCTCGTGTACTCCACTGGAGGAAGCCCGGATTTGGCCTGATGCTATAGATCTGAAACCCAAGTAACCCTTTTGAAACAAATCTTTCCTATTGGTTTCTAATGGATTCCAAGCCTGCGCTCTAATTGTCTGGGCTGGCTTAATATAGGACAATCACAGCTGCGATTAGATTTGGAGCAAGTGTAAATGGTATTGCATCATAAACACATCAGACAGGGTAATACGCGCGCTTGATTCGGGTGTCAGCATAAAGGGAGAATTTGAGTGATTCCCACATTAGTTGTGCTTATGAGTTCCTTAAGTTGGGAAGTTCCGGATTCTTCTCCAACACTCATCACTCATTTCCTTCATCCAAAAAACACGAGAGGCACCAAATCAAATCTAGGCTTTGGAAAGACTGATCGCTTCCATCCCGCCGCGTGCGCATTATAAGTGTGTCATTTACATCGGGTTAGGGTCCGCCCGTAGTGTTCGTTTGGGCTCTGTTTGCCTGGGAAACATGTGCACATGTAGCGCTAATAGACTGAGGGTGTATGTCGCCCGCTTCCCCTTGCCTTTTCTTTTTGTAGGCGATTCCGCGACACGACGACGAGCCTCCTCCGACTCTTAACGCACCTAGCGAAGCGCGGCTAACGAGTTTGAAATTACAGTAGATACAGTAAGTGGTGGTGGCTAAATGATTGAATCATTACTGGTGATCAGGGCTCTCTCGCCTTGGGCATATTGCTGCAATAGATCAGCCTGTCGAGCTCATCTGCATCAGTCACACGTAACCCAGTTTGCCGAGTGAGAGAGATGGAGCGCGCTTTCGTAGGAAATTCTGTCTGCCAATATTACTGAGGGTGCATAAGAAGGGCCCTGAGTGGTTTGTCAAGAAACGCAGCTTCAGAAATAGGCAATTTCTACAAGGGTGGGGGGAAATATGTCTTGGAAGAGGAGAATTATTGATCAGAGGCCTTTTGGGAAGCTTATGTGTAACTTTGGATGCTGGGGCCTGCGACACCAAAGTCTTATTTAATGTATGTTGTGAGTAATATATATATTTTTCTTCTTTGAAAGAATTGGAGAGGTTCATGAGGCGGAGAGATTACCTTCTGATTTTAACACACACACACACACACACACACACACGTTTACTTAGCTATCACACACACACACAGAGAGAGAGAAGTGATCGCAGGGAAGGTTGTAAGACTGATGTCTTCATTAGGCAGAACAACAGAAAATATGAATCTGTCAGTGCTCTTATGATTAGTTGGGATGATACATATTTGCTCTAAAACCACTTGATCAAATGATTTCTCTTTCTTTACTACATGATGAAATCTGCATCAGTTCAGTTCAATTAATTTCTGTATGATTCTTAGCTATTTAAGAGAATACGCTGAAGACAAATGCAATGATTGAAGTGTACGGAGGATTTTTTTTTTTTTAAGAACTCAAAGAACCTTATATTGGATTAGAAATGCAAAATACATTGTATATTATTACAGTAAACACTGTGATGCCTTTCTGTGCAGTACAGGGGAACGTTACAGAGTCCTCCTACAGAAAGTGAAGTGAGCTGTTATTGAGATCAGATAATCTGTGACTGTCTGCATGTGCGCCATTTCACATTCCCTCCTCGTGTACTCCACTGGAGGAAGCCCGGATTTGGCCTGATGCTATAGATCTGAAACCCAAGTAACCCTTTTGAAACAAATCTTTCCTATTGGTTTCTAATGGATTCCAAGCCTGCGCTCTAATTGTCTGGGCTGGCTTAATATAGGACAATCACAGCTGCGATTAGATTTGGAGCAAGTGTAAATGGTATTGCATCATAAACACATCAGACAGGGTAATACGCGCGCTTGATTCGGGTGTCAGCATAAAGGGAGAATTTGAGTGATTCCCACATTAGTTGTGCTTATGAGTTCCTTAAGTTGGGAAGTTCCGGATTCTTCTCCAACACTCATCACTCATTTCCTTCATCCAAAAAACACGAGAGGCACCAAATCAAATCTAGGCTTTGGAAAGACTGATCGCTTCCATCCCGCCGCGTGCGCATTATAAGTGTGTCATTTACATCGGGTTAGGGTCCGCCCGTAGTGTTCGTTTGGGCTCTGTTTGCCTGGGAAACATGTGCACATGTAGCGCTAATAGACTGAGGGTGTATGTCGCCCGCTTCCCCTTGCCTTTTCTTTTTGTAGGCGATTCCGCGACACGACGACGAGCCTCCTCCGACTCTTAACGCACCTAGCGAAGCGCGGCTAACGAGTTTGAAATTACAGTAGATACAGTAAGTGGTGGTGGCTAAATGATTGAATCATTACTGGTGATCAGGGCTCTCTCGCCTTGGGCATATTGCTGCAATAGATCAGCCTGTCGAGCTCATCTGCATCAGTCACACGTAACCCAGTTTGCCGAGTGAGAGAGATGGAGCGCGCTTTCGTAGGAAATTCTGTCTGCCAATATTACTGAGGGTGCATAAGAAGGGCCCTGAGTGGTTTGTCAAGAAACGCAGCTTCAGAAATAGGCAATTTCTACAAGGGTGGGGGGAAATAAGTCTTGGGAGAGGAGAATTATTGATCGGAGGCCTTTTGGGAGGCTTCAGTGTAACTTCGGATGCTGCGCCCGCGACACCAGAGTCTTATTTGATGCGTGTTGTGAATAATACATACTATTTTTCTTAGAAAGAATTAGAGAGGTTCACGAGGCGGAGCGATTACCTTTGTGTTTTATGAGGATTCTCCAATTTGGTAAGATTTATAAACTGTTTTCCTCGTGTGGATTGAGACTTTGGCCCCAAAGTATCAAAAAATGACTATACTTTATAGAATGTTATCTAGATAGAGACATTCAATAGACTTCTATTCTTTCATATACAGCTAGTTATAAATACTATAACCTACACCCTAACAGAAACATTCTGCATTTTTACAATTAAAAATACTTTATACAGGTTTTGTTCACACTTTAGTTTGGGGACCAGTTCTCACTATTAACTAGCTACTAACTACAACTTTTGCATCAATAAACTCCTAATTAATTATTAGTTAGTAAGGTAGCTGTTATGTTTAGGTACGGGCTATCATGGTGCTTTATAATAAAGCAATAAGCCCCAAGAAGCCGTGGTTTACAGTGAATCTTCGCGTCGTGCCTATTAACGCCCCTTAGCTGTTATAAATTCACTGTAAACCACGGCTTCACGGGGTTTATTGCGTTTATAAAACGGTTATTCCATATACGTAGTAAGGTTTCACAAAATAAAACGGAGCAAATAAAGTGTAATGATATTAATAAACACAGTATTCTTCCACCAAACAATGTAGCTCCTCAGAAACAGTTGTGGTTGCTACAAAGTGGTTGCCGAGCAACACACAAACGTAAACAAAGGTGTGTGTTACTTTGTAGCGTCATTTAGGCTCAGCCAATCAGAGTCAAGCACCGGAACTCTCCGCTTTATAAGTACTAAATAAACAGCCAATATGCTAGTAATATGCATGCTATTTAACAGAATTGGAAACTAAAGTGTTACCTTGTTTTGACAAATTGAGATGTCCCCAAAATGAGGTTTTGGAAGGTTTTGTCAGATATAGCTCATATCTTGGTACAAATCTGGTGAAGTAGGTACACACACACAAAACACTCTTACGTTAGGGTGAGCCAGGGCGTTGCTGTCATTGTACATGATGGATGTGGGCAGAAGGGCAACTTCCTCTTTTATAGCCTCTGCCTCTTTCTTGATCTCTGAAAGGTCAGTCACCTACAAATAAAAACTTACGTTATTTACAAAAACCTTAAGAAATCACACAGAGCACTCATCTTTCCGGCATTCCAGACATTCACGTTGCATGACGAGTTGTCTAATTAAAGAGAAATGCCTCATTCCTTAACTTTTTTTTTTGTAGCCTTTATTTTATCCTTGAGCTCCATTCTTTTTTGGTGCTATAATTAGTCATAAATTAGACCCCTTAAAGCAGGGCTCTTCAGCTCCAGTGTCCTGCAGACTTTAATTTCAACCATAATTAAACACACCTGTCTGTACTGTGATTCTGAACACCGTGATTAGCTTGTTTAGGGTGTTTGGTTAGAGATAGTTCACCCAAAAATGAAAATTTGTGTTATTCAAAACCCATATGACTTTCTTTTCTTCTGTGGAACATAAAAGAAGATATTTAGAGAAACCAAACCGTTCGCTTACCACCATTCCTCAAAATATCTTCTTTCGTGTTCCGCAGAAGAAAAAAACGCACACAGGTTTGTCAGTTTTTTGCTGCTGTTTTTGACACCCCCTTCAATAACACATTATTTTCAAGTGTGTGACATTAGTAAGTTGCAGACTTCGAGTGATCTTTGCACCTTGTTTCAGATTTAATAAGGCTCTTTTTGGACCGGAAGGAAGTGCTTTCAGTGAACTATTTTATCTCAAGAGATGAAGTAAATTTGATCGACCCATTTAACTCACATTAGTGGGTGCAGCTGAAAGGCTGATATCGAGTCATTCCTGTATCACAGTAAAGTTGAGCAAACACTTATCTGCAGGTGAGTTCAAGGTGACTGTCCGTGTAAAGGGAGATGCAGAGTGCAATTCTAAATACAAACAACTGATGGCAGTATAATCGTAACAGTGCTCACTCTTGCGGTCCCTTGTCCTTTATAACATCTGTATCCAGCAAAGGCCTAGCAGACTCCTGTCTTTCACCTCAAATGCTCTGTTAAGTGAGAGTTGGCATAGTGCTTTTTTATCTGAGCTCAGAGCATCCAACTACACTCTTAAAAACAAAGGTGCTTAAAAGGTTCTTCACAGCGATGCCATAGAAGAAGCATTCAGTCAAAGGTTCTTTACAGAACCATCTCTTTCTTACCTTTGTATAATCTGGAGAACCTTCTTTCGCCACAAAGGAGCTTTAGTGAAACAGAAAGGTTCTTCAGATGTTAATGGAACCATTCAGACAAAAAAGGTTCTTCTATGGCATCGTGAAGCACTTTTATTTTTAAGAGTGTACATGGTATGGATATGATTGAAAAATCAAATGTGCATGAATCTATGTATTTGTGCTTGTCCAAAGAATGCCCTCTGGGTATGCTTTTTTCGCTCCATCAATAGAGCTGTTCGTACATCATTCAGAAATAAACGTAGTGATGTTAAGTGCTGGTCTGTTTCCAGTGCATCGCTGAAGTCCGTACAGACAGACCTGAGTCCTGAGATCAGTCCTTCTGGTGCAATCTATCATACGGATTCATTTCAACTGTCACCTTTTGTCTCAGACCACAGAGATCTGTGAGCATTTGTTAGTAATCTAATTTGAGCGGTGAATGTGAATGCTCTTCAGTAATGCTCTCCACCGGCGGCCGGACGCTTTTCAAGAGGACAGGTGCCACAGACCAAACGAGATATAATGGCAATCATTTCATTTGCAGACAAACGGAAAGTAACTCGGCGAAAAGAAATCAAATAAAAGAATATATATGAGAAGGAAGGGAAAGAGAATAGAGAGGGAGAGAGGCAGAGATGTACCTTGGTGCCATCCCGAGATGATTTGAAAGCCTGAGGAACAAAGGAGTCGCTCTCAATGGCCTCGATATCCTTTATCCTCCTCACCTGCTCGGCGAGAGACATTTGCTCTAGAGAAACAAAAAACAGAGCGGTGAGTGGACCGGCGAGAGGTCAGCATGGCAGGTCAGACGGTCACAAACCACAGACACAGAAAAACATCATGCTGATCGATTCATCTCTTCTACTCAATCTACTGGATACGGTTGAGTCTGAAGTGCACGTGCCACATTAAAGCAGCTGTGCTCATGGGACAGTCCCATTACCCTTCTCTTCAGCTTCAGTATGTCTCCAGCAAAACAACCGCATACTCTCCAAACAAGCAAGAACACACAGTACATAGTACCAGACAGCTTGTCTAGAAACATGACTGGTCTCGGTTGTGTTAAGTGCCCTCTGTAGTTTGAATACTGCAGTCCGAAGACGGACGGAAATGATCGCACTTTACACGAAAAAAGATGAGTTCGAAAACAAGTCAGAACAGTACTAAGTTCAGTGGATGTAGCTTGAAAGCTTTAGGATTTAATAGTCAGAAATGTTGGTCTCAGAAGATGATTTGTGACCCTGCAGCACAAAAGCAGTGTTAAGTCGCTGGGGTATATTTGTAGCAATAGTCAAAATTCAAAATTATACATTTCTCTTTTATGCCAAAAATCATTAGGATATTAAGTAAAGATCATGTTCCATGAAGATATTTTGTAAATTTCCTACCGTAAATATATCAAAGCTTAATTTTTGATTAGTAATATGCATTGCTAAGAACTTCATTTGGACAACTTTAAAGATGATTTTCTCAATATTTAGATTTTTTTGCACCCTCAGATTCCAGATTTTCAAATATTGTCCTATCCTAACAAACCACACATCAATGGAAAGATTATTTATTCAGCTTTCAGATGATGTATAAATCTCAATTTTGAAAAATTGACACACAAGACTGGTTTTGTGCTCCAGGGTCACATATTAGTATGATATGTATATGTGGATCAATAATTATGATACCTAAGTTGTGATCCTCTTTACTTCCCAATTGTGATATATATCAGAGTAAAACAGTTTCTTGAATGAGGAAAAAGAATGCAGGGTGAAAATAAGAATTGTCGGTCACACTTTATTTTAAGGTACAATTCTCCTCATTAACTATGACGTTTGCCTCAGTAAACTCCTAATTTGCTGATTATTAATAGTTAGTAAGGTAGTTGTTAAGTTTAGGTATTGGTAAGGATTATGGAAGTAGAATATGGTCATGCAGAATATGTGCTTTATAAGCACTAATACACAGCCAATATGTTAATAATAGGCATGCTAATAAACAACTAGTTAATAGTGAAAACTGGTCCCGAATTGTACTTCTCGGTTTCTTGATTGCTCATGACGTGATAACACTGAAGCAGCTGTGTATTGGTGTTCCCACACGTTCCCAACAGTCTTAGGAAACCACCTGATTTCACGGAGTAAACATTAGCCCAGCTTTTAAATCCCAAGTCTCCCTACTTGCTAAGTGTTTTTTATAGTTGAGAATGTATCCTGCTTATTGAAAGTGAAAGCCGGCGAGGTTCATCTTCATCAACAGATAATTTACTCTGAATACAGATTTATTTATTCTAACATTTTGAAGTTATGCACAAACTCATTGGTTTGGAGTTATTCAGTGAGGTTTATGCAATTGTGTTGTGATGTTGATTTTTATTAAGGCATATGAATCAATGGTGGTAAAAATGAAGTTGTTGGCATCACTTAAGATGACCTAAAAATTCATTTAAATTGGTTGGTAAAATTAACCTAATTCAACAATACGCAAAATAGCGATCGACAAGTAAAAAATCAACAAATGTGTGCTTTCCAGTCTGTAGCTCTTTAATTCTTCTTCTTTTCTAGAAGTAGAGTCTGAAATGGACGCTGGTCAATGAGAAGACAACAGAAAACACAGACACGCTTCACAACTCGCTCAGAAAACAGCCAGCGTTATGCATTGGCTTGAAGATGTGATGCATGTTTTTGAAGCATGTATGCGGCTATACCAGCTAAAATGATGCATGCTAAACAACTCTGAATTTTAATGCAATATAGAGTCACAGGCTCTTATTCCGGTATTTGCTGTATATTGTATTCAAATCAATGTCTCCTAACAATCATATCAGGAGATACATATGTTCATGATTACACACAGACACAGAAATAATGTATTTTGGCTTGGACTGATACACAGAACACCTTGTCATTTTGTCCGTCGTTGATGCTCTCTGGTGGTTGAGCTTATTAATATGACACTAAAACCTTTTATAGCTTCAATGATCGCTGACTGTGTAGTACGCAACACTTTATTTCGATATTCCACATTCTACTGACTGTAAGTAACATTGCAAGTATGTCAAATTATTCTACTAACCCTACTAATACTCTAATGAGAGTTAGTTGACATGTAGTTGTAAAGTTACTTTTTGTAGAACGTCTAAAGTGGACTATTGAAAGAAAATAAAAGGTGTTCAGAATTCCATAATCAACCCAGTCATATACAGAGATCAATGGTTCTAGAATATCAGCATGTTGACTATGCAATGCATATATAATTATCAGGAGAGACAGAATTTCAAGGAGATTTCAAGAAAAAAAGTAATAAATTCTAAGGCTCTTCACGGTAAACAGATCTTCTGTTGACTTCATATGCACATTATCTCACTCTACACATTTATTCAGGAAATAAAGACCTAATGTGATATTGCTCAGTGCTATTTTCATAAATAAACAGGGTAACTTGTAATATTTGTTACTCCATATCAACTTTCTGTTTATTGAACTATAAGCTGTGATTACCTACAGCCACAGCTGTGTTGTTATTCACAACATCAGCGCTGTTGTTTGCGTGACTCTGCTAAATGAAGACATCCTAAAACATAAAACACAATGTATTACTGATACTCAAATTCACCCACAATTTAATCTCTCTCCACACATATGCATGAAAATGCTCTGAAACAAACACTGTTAGGTAGGAAGCATGCTCTCGCGCTCACACACACTCACACACACACACACACACACACACACACACACACACACACACACACACACACACACACACACACACACACACACACACACAGATCCCTGCGCTAATGAGAGGAATTAATTTCATCCATTAACTGCCAGGGAGCAACTGTCACAACACATCTTCTCGCTCTGCTCGTTTAATGAATAAATGAATATTTGCTCTGGTTTCTCTCTGTTAGCAGAAACACTCGTTCACTCGCTCTCTCTCACACACACACACACACACACACACACACACACACACACACTTTGACTTATCATACGGCTTATGAACATAACTTAAACACTGTAGCACCGTCATTCTTTCCTGGCAAACAGTTGAAAATGTCTACAGAGACTCATTCTAATGAATATCTAGTTTCATTAAAGTAACATCCATATACACATTGATTTGTTACTGTAACACACACAAAATAAAAATACAAACGTGTGTCAGACAACACACACATGCTCTGAGAAACAAACCTGCAATAAAATGAGCCCAAACAATGTCAGGCATGTGTCCATACACACCGATAACAGTTTGCCTTCTCAAAAATACACATACTTGAGCATGAGGCAAAACGGAGGCGCAATATCCTCTAGGAGCCTTAAGATGACAGCAGTCCACTGGCTCTCAATCACACACTTATTACTCCTCCTGTGTGTGTGTGTGCACTGAACATCTTAATGACTGAGACACAAACACACAAGCCCACCCAGATACATCAGTGACAACCTATCCTTGGCCCGGAATTCCATTAATGCCTCATACTTTTTGACAAACACATTATTGGTAGATAAAATGACTTCCATATGCTGTTTGTCAGATGTCAGTGAGGAAAGATATGTATTTCATAGGAAAATCAAAAATAATGGACTTTGAGAGAGGGGCCCGTGCCGAGCAGATAGCAGAAAATCGATAGCGCTGTCGGAGAGACATCTCTGCCAGACACGATCAGCACAAGGCCAGGTCAAAGTTGACATTTAATATTGACACATTATCCACAAAATTAATTTAGAGTCTATTGTCGCCGCATTACACCAGCCTTATAGCAGTCTTGACCACAGACAGACAGAGAGAGAGAGAGAGAGAGAGAGAGAGATGATGATGACATGTTTTGTCTTTCCCTGCCATCCTAAAGGACTAAACGGACTCTGTTTTTTATTAAACATGAATGAATGTAGATTTAGATGTGAATAAACTGATGAGAAACCAGGAGGTTAACATGTGTGCAAAAACAGATATCCAGCATCATCATATGTGACCCTGGAGCACAAAACCAGTCATAAGGGTCCATTTTTAGAAATTGAGATTAATATATCATCTGAAAGCTGAATAAATAAGCTTTCCATTGATGTATGGTTTGTTAGGATAGGACAATATTTGAAAATCTGGAATCTGAGGGTGCCAAAAAATCTAAATATTGAGAAAATCATCTTTAAAGTTGTCCAAATTAAGTTCTTAGCAATGCATATTACTAATCAAAAATAACCTAACCTAACCCTAACCTTAATATCCTAATGATTTTTGTCATAAAAGAGAAATGTATAATTGTGACCCATACAATGTATTGTTGGCTATTGCTACAAATATCCCCCAGCGACTCAACACTGCTTCTGTGCTGCAGGGACACATATGCTCTTAATACTCTCTCTTAATAGCAGTTTCTTCACTTGCAAGAGGTAAAGTCAAACGAAAGCTCCTCTTCAGCAGGCAGGACAAGAGAAAACCACAAGAGGGCGATGTTCAACAACTCAAGGTCCAGCACCGACAGTGAAGGCAAAACTCACAGTGCCTGATTAATTCCCATAATTGAATGCCTTACTTCCATGAGCTAAATTACAACGGCTCTCATCACTGATGGAATAATTAAAGCAGTAGCTGCCCATCATCAGGTGGTCGGTCTCAAACGGCTGCGGATTCAAAGGTGCTTTTGAATGTCATGAGCAAGCCAAACAAACCTAATGATGGCACTGCACTGATTGAGAATGAAAAGTCCGTTGAGACGAGTGTGTGAGAGGAAAACACACACACTAC